TATACCGTATTATACTACTTGTATTATACAAGTATTATACGAGTATTATACACAGAGGTTTAGGTATAATACCAATAGTAGAAATGGGTTAGCCAATTAAATTGCTTTATCTGCAATTCCGAAGTTTCTCTTAAAAAATTCCGAAAAATTCCGAACAATATATAATGGTAGCTATACCACGCTATACCATATTATACGGTATTATACCTGGTATTATACTACCATTTTCTATTATACCGGTATAATCGCATCCCTAGCCATGATATTTTTTGCATGAAATTACGTAATCAATTTTGCAAAATATAACAGAAAAAAACTTCAGATAGTCATATTAACTATCGGATAACATCATTATTGAACATACGTACGACAAAATAACAGGCATTTTTTTTCAACAGAGTTAATTTCACTCATGTGCTGCGTAGCAGCACATGGATTGACATTAATTCCGACAAAAAAAAATGCCTATTATTTTGTCGTACGTATGTTCAATAATGTACACTTATCTGCACACTATTTTGAATATATGCGAGTATGCATATGTGCTAGAGTTGGTCACCGAAACCTTTTTTGCCGAATCCGAAAGTTTCGGGTTTCGGATTATAGTTTCCGAAACCTCTGTTACGGGACCGGGTCTCCGTTGTGTAACAATTACATCTTTAGTATGCAGGTAGATAGAAATGTAGTAATTAGTAAACAATCTGTTATACAGAGGGAGGTAACCATATAGTAATTAGCGCATATGCATAAAATATGTAGTCATTTAATAGTCATTAGTATTAGTAATCGTTTGAACAATGGTCAAAGGGAAGGAGGTATAAAAGGGAATAGAGAAAAGGATAGAAGGTCTTTTTTAGTTACTTTGATAGTTAGTGAGTCGATTAGTTAGTTCTTTGTTTAGTTGGTCAGTAATTAAGTTGGATTAGTAGAAAGTACTCTGGGAGTACATCTCGAACTTTGTGCATAATAAAGAAGGCTCATCTTACTTTCAGTATCTCATATACATAAATACATACTTGGTTCTTTTCCCTTAATGCTTGCAGTCCTGAACTTAATTGGTTACGTTGATACGAAGTCTCTCCCTTGACTGTAACATTTATGGTGCTGATTGTGTGGATGATACAAAAGAAAAACAATAAATAAAGATTGTTGTGTGATAAAATTTTAATAATTAAGTGAACAAATTCTGGATCTGTATTGTATTGAATCAAAGTAATAAGGTGATAAGGAATTGAAGGATATATCAATAACGAACGATAGAAAAAATAATCCAGCAAATGGATAAATGGAAAGAAAGACGAAAAGGATAAAGTAACACTGTGACGGATGAACAAATTAATGTGTAGATACAAGAATCTGGAATTAAGTGTTAGTAGATAAAGACCCCGGATATACGAACGACAATAAAAAGAAAAGGACGAACAAATCAATCGATTCAGAATAAATAATAAATTAGTAGATGTTAGGCAGAATGAATATCTGGGGATGTCCAATAAATCAAATGAATGATAATAGACAACAAGGATCTTTGGCACCTATGCAAAGCAATCATCCGTTAGAAGAGCCAATTTTGGGGGACAATCTTGATTCTCCAATAGAACAAACTCATACCAACCCATCTTGGGATCAGCTTCTTCGACATATAACGACCCTTATAGCAAGACAACAAAGAACTTAACCTGAGATGAAGGAACATCATTTTGTGAATATACCAATTTTTTCGGGTGATAATCAAGATCCTATAGAGTGGTTAGAAGCAGTTGAAAGGGTGTTTCAAGCTAATAATATTGTAGGAGACCAAAGGCTTGTGGTAGTTGACACTTACTTCTCTGGGCTTGTGGTGTTTTGGTGGAAAGGTCAAAGGATAAGAAGACTGGGCCTACAATATTGGAAAAACAAACATCATCCTGACCAAAGCTTTGTACATCAATTTTACACCAATTTTTGTACACATGTCTTGATAACACAGTAGAACACCAAACTCCTAACAAGAAAGCAACATATTGGAAAAATGGTAAACCAATATGCAACAGATATGTTGGTCCTGTTTCAAAGAGTGACAAAAGTGGGTAATCAATACCCAGAAATCGTGAAAGCCCAGATGTTTGTGCAAGGCCTCTGCCCGATTTGTTCTTAACCCTTAGCCTGTTCATGCCCAGTATTCTACAAGAGGTGATTGATCGAGCATGAATGTGCAAAATGACTTTTGCAAAAGGCTTGGCTACATGTGGGCCTGTAGTGATTTATAATGTAATGTCTGGATCTTGGCCTCAACAATCCTATTCTCAACAGCCTTGGACCCTGCTATCTTAGCAAACTATACAACCATCAGTACTAATGCTATTAGTAATATTATTTCAGTCACCACTGCAACTACAACAAATGTTGCAGTCACAAGTAACAATATCACGATCTTAGCAGTTTGTACAGCCCCAAATGCCAGTACAACAATCAATGTCATATCAGCTGCAGCTGCCAATAATGAATTTGCAGCCAAACACAATCTTTTCAAATCCAATGGGCCAATTGATTACATTGTTACAGAAAGTTGTAACAATGGTAGAGGGCAACAACAATAATAATAATGTTCACTCTGTTTTTAGTGATAATTATCGAGAAAGAAGTGGCTGTGAACCTACCTGCTTTTCTTGTCAACAACCAGGCTATTATGCAAGAAAATGCCTAAATATGAATCAACGTAATAATTAACGTAGAAGTGCCTCACAAGTCCTGAACCTTGATAATAATAGTTTTATAAGAAATGATGATAATATTGCAACGAATAGTAAACCACAGGCTTAAACTATAATAGCTCAAATGGAAAATGCATTTTAATATTTAAACTAAAAGACACACTTTTTGAGGATGAGTATGCGTCAACATCTAAAAATCTCTTAGTAAGTAGAATCGAAAAGGCCTATACGGCAAAAAGACAAAAAAAAGATACTGATAATCTGAACGATATTGAGGCTCCATCAACAAATGAACCTGTAGAGCAATTGGAGCATGCAAATAAAAAGGCAAAAGTAGAAAAAAGGAAGAGAACCAAACCTGTTGACCCTCCAGTGATAACTGGTGTTCAACTATACTCGATTATGTCAGATCTTTAAAGCAAGAAGGTCGACATAATATATGCTCAATTATTTCGGGCTGCTCTGGTGTTAGAAAAGAAGTCTTTAAACTATTATATCCTGGACATGTCACTAAGTCAAGGTTTGTCAATATTTATTTGGGTAGAGTAGATAATGAATATATGATATCGATATACTGTGAAGCTCAAGTAAATAATATGCTGATTATCCTTATTTTGGATAGTAGATCTTTGGGCTGTGCAGTTTTTGCTAGTTTTCTAAAAGAAGTCAGGATCATAATCAATCATCCTTCAACCGTGTTAATGACTGGGATCCACGGTAAACAAAAGAGACTATTGGGAGAAGTAGATTGATTTCTGGTAATAGTGGGTAGGGTAACTATTGTAACGAAGGCTATAGTAACAGATGCGGGAACTATGCTACTATAGTTGGTAATGACTGGATGAAAAAAGTGAAGGCAAAACTGAATTGGGAAACTTGTGAGCTCACAATTATGAATGATGGCAAGAAGAATAAGATACCAACTGAATATTGCAAGCTAGCACATATAGGAGATTGTATTCAAGCAAAATTGTAGAAGAAAAGAGCAAGAATACAGTAGTCAAATCAGATAATAATAGTAATAAGAATAGTGAAAGTTCTGAAAATGATGATAATGATACCAATGATGATGACAAAGAAGCGTTGATTAACCAAGACTTCTTTTTTTACAAGCTTAGTCCTATAATGAAAAGAGACAATGAAGAGTATAAGCTATGTATAAAAAGAAGATATGATCAAACCAAATATGCTATAAAAAATATTGTAAAGACAATTGGGCGGTAAGTACAAAGAGTTTGGCTGGTGAATTGAATATCAGCAAAATAACAAGTGAACAAAATCAAAGTATGATAAAAGTGTTAAAAAGGTACCAAGGTCTATTTGCACGTGGATTACCTGAATTGGGTTGACCAACAGTTGTACGTCATAAGATATATACTGAAAAAGGTCCCCCAATCAAGCAACAGTTTTACCCTATTTTTAAAAATCGAACATAAGTTTATTGGCCAAGAAATCAAGCGAATAGAAAATTCTGGCTTAATTCAACTGTTGAATAGTCTGTGGGCATCTCTGGTTGTCCTAGTAAAGAAGAAAAATAGAAAGCTAAGATTTTGTGTTGACTTTCGAAAGCTAAACAAGAAGGCAAAATGTGATAGTTATCTATTGTCTTGAATAAACAAACTATTAGGAGCTTTGAAGGATTCTGTATGATATACGATATTGGATCTTGCAAGTGGCTTCTGGCAAGTTGGAATGAATTCTTAGGATCAGGAAAAAACAGTTTTCACGATGAAATTTGGCTTCTATGAATTTATGGTAATGCTATTTGGATTAACAAATGCTTCTGCGACGTTTCAAAGACTAATAGACTGTGTTTTCAAGGATGAAATATAGAAATTTGACTTGGCATATATTGATGATGTGAATATATATTCGCTTGATTTTGATACGTATTTGAAGTATGTTAATATTGTATTATCAAGACTCCAGAAAGCCAACCTGAAACTAAATTCAGATAAATGTTTTTTGTACAAAAGAAGATTTCTTACTTGGGTCACGAGATTAGTAAAAATAGAATTGACGTGACCAAATTGAAAATAATAGCTGTGATGAATTTCTCCAGACCAATGAACATATAAGCTCTGAGAAGTTTCCTAGAACTAGCTAGCTTTTACTATCGATTCATAAAAGATTTTTTGAAAGTGGCTACATCTTTGTATAAACTGTTAAAAAATGATGAGCTATATTATTAGCAGAAAGAACAAGAAGAAGCATTTCAAAGTTAAAGAAATGATTAACTACATCTCCAATTTTAGTGCATTCTTAGGATAATAAGGAATTTCTAGTGCATACCAATGTGTTACATATAGCTTTGAATACCATATTAGCATAACTGAATAAAGATGGTTATGAATGTGTTGTTGAATATATTAGTTATTCTATGAAACCTCCTGAAAAAAATTACACTATTACTAAATTAGAATACACGGCAATCATTTGGGCTATAAAAAAATTTCATCAGTATTTGCATGGGTTCTAGTTTACATTAATAACAAATTATAGTGCCTTGACTTATCTGAATAACATATTGAATCTGACAGGTAGAATAGTTTGATATATCATGACGTTGCAGGGCTATGATTTTGTTGTAAAGCATAAGCCCAGAAAACAAATAAACAATGTCGATGCTTTGTCAAAAATTGCTTTTAATCTAGAAAGAAAGTCAATGATGGATAAAGAAAGAGCAGTGACCATATAAGAAACAATTATTGAATAAAAAAAAAAATAAAAATTTATATTAGTAATACTGATATTAATTGCAATATAGAATGAAATCAAAATAAAATCAAAATAACTTAACTGCTAAAGCACAATTAAAACTTTCAAAATGTAGATAATTGAATGACAGTTGGCATCACATGATGAAAAAAAAATATATATATATATATTTAGTATTAGTTGCAATAATTTGGATTATATTCAGCTATACAAAAGAAAACTGAATTACCTGCTAAATATACTTGAGATTTTTTGGATTATGAACAATTAATACAAGTCAGAATCACATAGATACACAAATATACTTAGAAATATAAAAGTGAAAATTTTTGATAAATGTAAGATTCAATATATACAGAAACTGAGAAAGCAAATTAGTGAACATAGTAAAGTTGGGTCAGCTACGACGCAAGGAATAAGCACCTATAAAACAGAAAACATTATTAATATCGAGCAAAAAATCAACAAGCACATGATATCATGTAACAGTAGTATATGAGACAAGATCCGATATTTCTATTTAAGCAATGCTTTTGGCGTTAGAAGTTAAAAAAAAAAAAATTAGTAAAAACATTGACATGGAATTGGAGTCAAATAACATGTTAGTAAATTATCTAGACAAACAAGAATTGCCTGTAGAATATACAAAAGAACAATTAAAAAAATTAAAAGCTCAAGCATGATATTATTTATTGCGGGATGGTATCTTATATCAAAGAAGTAAAGAAAACTCAGAACACCTCTTGAGAGTTATACTCAAGGACCAAGTGGAATTAGTCTTGAAAGCAATGCACAAAGATCTGGTGTCCGACTACTTGGGTAAGAACATTATGATAGAGAAAGTAAAAGCCTGATATTATTGGAACCAGATGGTGAATGATATTTGAAACTTTAATAAAAGTTGTGACATATGTTAGAAATGAAGCAAACCAGCAAAAAGAGAAGCCTTATATCCTATCCAAGTAAATCAGCTATTTGACCATATTGGTATAAATATAGTAGGCCCATTGCATATAACAAAAAAGAGGAACCGATATTTAGTAGTAGCCATTAAATATTTAACAAAATGGCCCAAGTCAAGAGCCTTACTAGATTGTGCTGCTGAGAGTATTGCTGCTTTTGTTCTAGAAGAGATCATAAGTTATCATGGATGTCCACGATGAATACAATCAGATCAAGGTTCCTATTCCATTAATAAAGTGATCGATGCTATCTGCGAAAAAACACAATTAAAATATAAGTTATTCATTATTTACTATCCTCAGAG